GATAACATGAAAAGCGATCGACACGGGTGGTTTGGGTTCTGCAGTATTTGATACGTCAAATTCACGTCTCCTCGAGTTCGGCGGTACTGAGCCTTGATGGGAGTCGGCGAGTAGCGGAAGGCTGAGCGTTTTAGGCGTATGTGGGAATGTGTGTGGAGGCGCGTGGCGGAACGTGGATGGTAAACCTAATAGAGAAAGAAATAATGCAGTGATCCGATGAGCCCAGATGAGGGAGATTACAAATATCCGAGAAGAAAGTTTGGACCGAAGGGGTACTGATCGATGGTTCGGGCACGATCGTCAGCTGGATCATGGACACGTGTGGGGAGGTCAACTAGTTGGCTGAGGTTGTTGACCAAAGTGAAATGTTCGGCTTCTAGCCCAAAAGAAGTAGCATATTAATTTGTCAACCAATCCTAATTGTAAACGTTAAATCTCTCAAGATGGAAACATGGGGTCGGTCGCGAACCAGTGTTCAATGTTGGAAGGTAAAAATCGAAGGCGGCGGAGTCATCACTGTTAGGGGAGCGATAAATAACAAAAGTAATGATCAACAGAGGAAAGTTGAACTTTCAGCCACATCAGCTGCAATTCACTATTGGAAATGTCAAGATTTGGGATCCTGGAGGAGGCGACTGATTGGTGGATAAAGGCACGGACAATAGCTTTGGATACAAAAGATTGGAAATTGTAGTTAGGTACTTGAAAGTGGATGGTGTTTGACGAGGGTGAAATTTGCGTACTACACTACTAAGTTAGAGAACAATTGGATGTGCCATGTGAACGATAGCTCTGCACACCCTCATGTTTTTTGTTTGCATTATTGCTCTTTCACCTTTTTCCAATTCATTCAAACTGCTTATTTGGGGTCTGTTGTTCTTACTGAACCCTGTGTCTCTTAGGCTGCCCGGGGAGTAAACAAAGAAATAAATATCAACATACCGACTACGTGCCATCGCTGCGGAGGTTCACGTGCTGAACCGGGTACCGGTGCAACTACTTGCCCCAACTGCCACGGGACTGGCACTGAAAACCTGAGCACCGGTCCCTTCTTGCTGCGTTCCGTTTGTCGACGATGCCAAGGTAGTGGCTCAGTTGTGCGCCATCCTTGCGTAGAATGTGAAGGCAAAGGACGGATCGTCGGTCGCCAACGCGTCAGCGTTGCTATCCCAGCGGGTATGAATGCAATGTTTTTGGTCCCCATTGGTTTTGTCAACAGCGACAATTGATTTCCTTAGATGCGTTGCAAAGGAGATAGTATTTTATTTTTATTTGTTTTTTTTTATGAGGTAGAATCAAGATATACAATTCATCGAACACTGATTCCTTTGTTTGATACTTGAATGGATTGTAACAACGATTACTTTCAGCCGACCATTCTTTGCGTTACCGTTGATGAGCTTAAAGTATACACGGTATACTATTTTGACATCGCACGGTTGGGGCACTGTGTGACTTGGTTACCAAAGATCATTTGAAGACGAGTTCCTAAGTCCGATTCTTTCACCCACGCTATTCTGCCGAGACTAACTAACATGCGAAAACGAATTGAAGTTCGTCGCATTGGGATGAATCTAGCTACTCTCGGCATACTCTCAAAGTGACTACCAGACCAGGGCCGTTGCCGCAGAAATTAACCTACAGTTGAAACCGGTTAACAGACTGTTCGACTAAGCGTTTGAAATATCCTCTGCTGACGAAACCTTACTCAATGCATTCATAAGTTGGTGTTTTTCCACCAAAGTGAGGAGGCGAAAAATCGATGTTCTGGGTTATAACTGGTCGATCAACCATTGGTAGTTCACCTATGCAGTTAGCCAAGAGCCCTANGAGCCCTAATTTAAAACCGTCCGGGAAGAGGCGTACGAACCGCATCTTTGTTGTGACAGTGATCACCGACTTGATCGGGCATCTTAGGCGTTTGATCCTATCAAAGGGTGTATGCCTCGGCGAACTAGACAGCCTTTTTCAGTAAACTGCGGTTTTCACTCACCGCTCCGCTTCCTTGCCGGTCGGGCCGGCGTTGAAGTATTTCGCCTACAGGTGGCTGTTCTCCAACTCCTTCCTTTGTTTTAACAATTGTTGTACCTCCACTTGTTTGGCGCGCAGTCTGGACTTGGACACGTGTGTGATGGTGGCGCAGTGGTTTAGTCGCTGTCACTGCTATGGTTTGGACCCTATGGTTCGAGGTTTGAGCCCCGCCACCGCCACCCAACTTTCGTGGTAGGCAGCTTTGGTGTTTTCCGGTTCAATACCATGCCTAACCTCGCGGAGTCTTATATGATTCGCCACTCCAAGTCCTGGGGCTTAGCTTACCGGTTTCCATCAGTGAACAGCAGGTCCTCGTGACTGTGGGGTTTACCCGTCTGGTGTTCTCACTAAGGTGTGTAATAAGAAATGTGATATGGTACAAGTGAAGTGCTTTACGAATCCAAAATGAAACATGAAACTGCCGATTCACCAGACGCACTTTGTCGACAGCAGTTTTTATGCATTTGCTTTTTTCCCCTGCTCATCTAATTTATTCATGTTACATATCTTCATCTTGGTGATGTCGTGTCCACTTACGGTTGAAGAACACTCGTTCGTTGATCATATGTCGTCCCCAAAATACCGGAACCATATCTTGGAAGTGCAGGTTTAAGTGACTGCACAAACTACGATTAATCATACCGGTACATCTGCACTGTACATTGTGTAACACGCCTCGTTCATGTCAGTTTGTTGCATGTTGCAATTTCTGTGTATATCAGCACCGATCTTTTACTGTGTGACTTGGTCCAATTAAATCTGAGCCTGACCGTAGACCGTAGCGCAGTATTTTCCAAGAGTGGAAATAAGTAGGTGTGCATGCAGTGTGTTAAAGCTTTTGCTTTGGCCTACTGCAAAATCGTTATCCCAGATTCTTTAGGATTGCGGAGGTTTTCTATGATCGCTCTTTCACTTCAACCCGTTTTTGATTTTACAGGTGTTGAAGATGGTCAAGTCTTGCGGGTTTCAGTCGGCGACGGCCGACAAGCCTCCCAAGAAATTTTTGTACAGGTACGGGTTGAACGCAGTCGACAGTTTCGCCGAGAGGGCGCAGATGTGCATTCAGATATCACCATTTCATTAGCCCAAGCTGCGCTTGGTGGGAAAATTCGCGTTCCTGGAATTTACGAGACATTGCTGATCACAGTAAGTATCGATAAAAGTACATATTTTTTTCACCGCAGTGTTGAGCTTTATAAGTATACTTGTCTAGCTTTTCGATGTAACTCTATGGTATCACCTTTTGTTGAAAAACAGTAGGAAAATCGGTGGTGTCCAGCGCTCTATCCGCCGGTGCTCAGTGAGGTACGTATATGTTTGGGTGTTTCGTCTAACTGAGGCACAAAATTTGTTGAGCGAAGAGAATTTGAATTCACGAAGCCCTACGTGACTATTTGACCAATAAATGAGCAATAATGGACACACATCTAAGAGCTGAAGTTTTTTAATAAGCCGGTCCGTGAATGTAGATGCCTGAAGTGATAAATCTAAAGTTTTTTTCGCGTTTCAGCTTGTTCTTATACATCAATGGTATATATTTACCACCGGCTTGTAGACAAGCATGGTGCCAACGCAACAACAATAATTACAATAACAATGAAAGGGGACAGGCGGATTGGAGTACAGAACAGGGTGAAAATAGGGTGAAGCAGTTAAACACGCGAAAATGAAAGATGTCTGGAATAACAAAAAAATTTTGTCTTTCACCGTATACATTTTGATATTTTTTTACGGGGCACCGGATTTCGACAGGCAAGCCGTACAGCATTCGTGACGCCGACTTCTGTTCTGAGCCATATCTCTCAGTCTCTTTAACCAACGACAATCCTCATCCCTTGGGCCCCAGCCTGGAAGGCGAGCTGCACCAACCGAAGCCAAACCGAGGCCAGCTTCTTCATGCCTCTAGCCCCTTCCATGGTCTGATCACCGCGCCGTTCCTTCCAGCCTTGACCACCACGTGCGAAAAGAGCACGGAAAGGCAGTCTATGGGCAAGCATACGCAATACGTGGACAAGCCATTGGAGGTGATATAGAGCGATTACTTCTGTAAGAGAGCGACTATCCACACCCCACACTCGACGATGAACCTCGTCATTACTAACCCGGTGTTCCCACAAGACTCGGGCAATGCTTCGGAGACATCGGTGGTCAAGTACAGAAAGTCTTCCGCTCGGAGAGGCCAGGTCTCGCAACCGTGAAGCAGAACGCTGCGAACCGCGGCGATGTACACCCTTCCCTTAAGGAACAGTTGGATGTCATGGTGGCGCCACAGGTGTCGTAGGTTGGCGAAAGCTGCTCTAGCTTTCGCTATTCGTGATGTGATCTCGTCCCCAGCACCACCACCAGCTGCGATCAAGCTCCCGAGGTACTTAAAGCTCTCGACTACTTCTAGCTGATCACCACAGAGGGTGAGTGCATGCACAGATTCCTGCCAGTCTTGAACCATCACTTTGCACTTCGATGGTGCAATGCACATACCATATCTGGATACTTCTATCGCCAAGTGGTGTAACGCTTTTTGGACTGCCTGTGCATTGTCCCCCAGCAAGGCGATGTCATCGGCATATTCTAAATCAAGAACTCTGTTCCCTGGGAGGAGTTCGAATCCTCCGTCTGCTAGGCCGGACAAATCGTCCTGCTGACCATCCTCTATGGCGAAGTTGAAAAGGAATTGGGATATAGGGCAGCCTTGCCGAACTCCACTGGAGACGGCGAAAGTTGGCCATAGGCCCTAACCCGACCTGAGGTATGGCGATACAACTGTTTGAGGATTGGCACATACCTCTCTGGTACTCCATTCATCATCAAACACCTTCCTACTGCGGTCCTATCAACAGAATCGAAGGCCGTGCGCATGTCTAAGAACACAATGATTGTTGGTCTACGGTAGGCATGACGGTGCTCAAACAAGTGTAGGATGGTGAAGATTTGATCGATGCAGCCACGGCCGGCACGAAACCCAGCCTGCTCCTCACGGGCGTGTTCCTCGCGCGTTTTGTACAGTCTACGAAGAATGACGGACGCTAACAGCTTTGACGCTATTGGGATCAGGCTTAATATCCCTATGGTTGACGCAATCATTTCGCGGACCCTTTTTGACGAAGGGGACTACAATCGACCCCCCTCAGAAGAAGGGGACCTGGTCAGTGTTCCAAACTTAAGAGAACAGGACGTGGATTTCTCTAACAAGGTTTATTCCACCATCTTTTAATACAGCAGAGGTAAGGTCATCGGACTCCGGCGCTTTGCGATGTCCCAAGGTTCGAAGCTCCTTATGGATTTCCGCCTCAGAAGGTTGGTCTGTTGTGTCAGAACATAGGGTGTGGGTCGGAATAGCTGCGGGAAAAGCTGGCGCTGGTGGCCAGCTGAATTGTGCTTTGATGTACTCCGCCCAGCGTGCAAGACGTCGCTGTTGATTGTGAGTGAGTGAACCGTCAGCTTCGCAGATCGTTTCGCTCACACCCAAGGCTTTCTTACCGGTGACCCGGATGAGATGAAACAGCTTACGGAAATTTCCCATGACGGCAGCAGGTTCCATTTCTTAGGCGCGTTGAGACCACCAGATTTCGCGGTCTATGCGTGGGCTTGCATTAAATTCACGTCTCATTACGAGTGTTGTTTCATTATGCTCGCTGCCGGTCGTAAGTGACCGATTTGTGTCAAGAAAGCGTAGAGACTCCACAGAGATCCAGGGTGTTACAGAGCGATTTGTGAAACCACAACTAACTAAGCCAGCAGAATTCAGAGCATTCTTGATAGGCGACCATTGCTGCTTAAGATTATCGTGTGGGGCTGGTTCTAGCGTTGCGGTTAGCGCCTTTTGGAAAAGAGTTGAACAAGCTGGTTGGAGCAGCTTATCACAGTCCAACCGTCGTTGTGTCGTGCGTTTGGTATGCCCCCCGAAGCACTTGTATAGCTTGGCGCAAACTAATGCGTGGTCGGGTTCCAGGGTATTGAACCAGTACGATCGGCAGTCTTGAATGCAGCCCGCCGGAATGACAAACAAGTTTCGTCTATCGTGGCGACGGCTGCTTATCTTGCACAAACCTCTGAGTCTCACTGCGCACAACCTACTATCGAATGGGATCCAGCCCAGGATGGTGGCTTCAGCTCTCTCACGGAGCCACGTCGAAGCCAGCGATACCGGAAGCCGAAGCCTCAGGGTCCTCAGAGAGGCGGAAGTTAAACTGCACTGATGGGTTTGACGTGCAATTCAATCGGATAATGGAGCTGGAGTCTTGAATGCGAGTTTGTTGGATGCAACACACCAATAGCCAAAGTTTCGAACGTACGAGCAAAACACGCCTGTTCTATGCGCATCAGAGTACGCACGATAAATGTGACTGGTTTGAAGGGGCATCGAGGGCGAAAAAGGAGTTCAGCTGGTGAAGGATTCGGAGAGACTTGGATGCTAGTAGGACAAGAGCGAACCGCGGCAGACTTTCCGCACGAGGCACTACTGTTAGTACGATCGTCTGAAGCACCCGAGAGAGATGGACGAGTGTTGGGGAGGTAGAACTGTGCTGGGGGGATTCGGGGAGCATGGGGGAACAAGGTATGTACGGTGTGAAATGATTTTTGCAGGATGAGGAAAGATCAGAGTACATAGTCGTAAGAGCAAGGTTGAT